TTTTATTAAAGCATGGGGACAGGACCCATGGGCAGGAAGAGCTGGGTTCCTGAAAGGTAACTCATTATATACCCTCAGGTTGGGAGGGAGTTAGGGGTAGAGTAAGTCTCGAAGGTATTTTGGAAGCAAGGTTTCCAGGACCTTGAGGGGCTACCTGTTGCTAGGGAAACATTTACTACCATTTAAGAAGACCTCAGTCATGAGACCCTTCAGATGTATATGGGGGGTGAGGGGCATAAGCTTGGGGTAAGATTGCCAGTATATATCTCGGGCGGTTGAAATGAAGTAGAATTACAGGATCCTCGAGGTTCAGGTAATGTTAAGCTAAGATTCTCTTTTGCCTGTAGCAAAGTGTCATCATCTCGGCAGCTGAGCTCCTTACAGGGAGGTCACTGCCTGTTTCAGGGACTTACCTATGGGCTGTAAGGCAGTAAGGGAATTTAATTTTTCATTTGCCTTAGTTTCCTACATTAAGCATGGCAAGCACTTAAACCTCTTTCCTTTGTTCTTGGGTAGGCAGGAGTGTCTGAGGAATATCATACATATTCCACCTTCGGGGGGGGGGGGCGGTTGCTGTTAGCCTGTACTTTGTCTTCAGCTTGCCCCACACTCCCTCATCAGCCTGGTACCTTGCTTAGAGTTTCCAGCAGCCTTACCAGGAGTCTGGTATGTCAGCTGACACGGCTTCTTATTCCTGTGAACCTGTGGAAACCTCAAATTGCTCTTCAAACGACAATGAAGGACTTTGAGGAAAGTTCTGATTAACTATCAGAGTGATGTGGGAAACAAAGGCAGAAGGAGATAGCAGGTAACATTGAATTTCCTTATGGCCTGCAGCACATTGACGAATACTCGAGGCCAGCAGAGTATATAACTTTCCTGCAGGAACTCCCTACTGTCTTAATGTAAATGGTTTGCCAGAGGGGAAAACCACCTTAGCTTGATAATAGCTAGGCCCCAGGATCCAGTGTCTTTAGCATATGAAAATCCTTTGGGAAACTTCCTCTAGCTTTTACCTCCCCCAACTCCCAAGTATATTATCAGTCACTCCATGGGGCCTGTCCCCATGCTTTAATAAAATCAGTTTTGCAAAATAAATAAATAACTGTAAAATTTGTTTATAATTCTGGCACTCCAATGTAAATGTTCTATTTTTTTAAATGTTTTTATTTTTGAGAGAGATGGAGTGAGCGGGGGAGGGGCAGAGAGAGAGGGGGACTGAGGATCCGGAACGGGCTCTGTGCTGACTGCAGCAAGCCCAGTGTGGGGCTCAGACTCACCAACCGGGAGATCATAACTTGAGCCGAAATCGGACACTCAACCAACCGAGCCACCCGGGTGCCCCAAGATTTTCACATAAACTTCCAGTCTCTGCCCGCAGACATGTACTTATTATATGGTTCTGAGACATACGTCACTTTGTTTCTTTTGTTTTTCATTTACCACATCAGAGTTTTCCATGTTTCTCATAATCTTACAGTTCTACTCTTAAATGGATGTAATGCAAGGCAATGCATTAATCTGCATGGACTGGGCACGTTAAAGACAGAAATGAACTCTCTCACAGTTCTGGAAGCCCAAAGTCTGAGATTAAGGTATCAGCAGAGTTGGTTTCCTCTGAAGACTCTCCTTGGTTTGCAGATGGATGCCTTCTTCCTGTGTCCTCCCAAGGATGTTCCTCTCTCTGGGTGTCCTGTATCCCAATCTCTTCTTATCAGGATACCAATCTTATTGGACTAGGGCCCACCCATAATGACCTCATTTTACCTTACTTACCTCTTTCAAGGCCCTGTGTCTAAATATAATACTGTTCTGGGCACCTGGGTGGTTCAGTCCGTTAAGCATCTGACTGCGGCTCAGGTCATGATCTCATGGTTCTCGAGTTCAAGCCCTGCATCGGTTGTCGGGTTCTGTGCTGACAGCTCAGAGGCTGGAGCCTGCTTTGGATTCTGTGTGTCCCTTTCTCTGTGCCCCTCCCCCGCCATCTCAAATAAATAAATATTTATATACATATTTATATAACATAGTTAAATAAATAAATAAATAAAGTCCTGTTTTGACATACTGGGGGTTAGGACTTCCAACATATGAATTTTTGGAGAATACCAGTACATAGTAGGTAGGGTAGTGTAAAATATTCAGGGGCCATTAAAAAAAAAAGTGGCCATAAATAATGCTGCTTGAATATTTCCATGCGTATAGTCTTAAAACACAAAAAGTACAAAGTGCAAAGGACAAATACATGAAATTAGATTAAGATTTAAAACTTTTTTTTCAAGAAAAAAATAAAATAAAAAATAAAACTTTTTTTCCCCCACCAAAAACCACCATAGCCTAACCAAAACTAAGTCAGACTGGGGAAAGATATTTGCAGTAAGGAAAAACATCTAGAGAATATAAATAACTTCTAAAAATCAAAAGACTACTCAGGAGGATAATGTGCAAAATTATGAATAGTGAATTCAGGAAAGGGGGAAACATGAATAGGCACAAAATACACAAAGGTGTTCTCTCTTACTGTTAGTCAGGAAAATGGCAGTATCTGCTTTTGAAGATGCGCCCATCCTACATCCAGCAAGTCTTAACCTTGGTGCTGTTTTTGCACATTTACATAGGAGCCACATTCAAGAATCTCCATAGCAGCATTGTTTTAAGAGCAAAAACAGGAGAACAATTTAAGTGTCTATCACCCAGAGGATGGATCTCTTGTGGGTTTTTCCCCCATACACTGAAAAGTAGCAGCAAAAACTAGTGAGCTACAGCTGAAAAGAGCATACGTGAATGACATTAACATAAGGATGACTGAAAAGGCACGTTGTAGGTTACGTACAATATGGTAGCCCTTACAGAAACTTTAGGACATATAAAACAGTACTATATATTATTTAGAAGTAACACGTATGTAGGCAAAGTATGCTGACATGTACAGGAATAAATACCCAGTTTGGGATAGTAGCCATCGCTGGGAGCTGGGATGGGGAAGGGGTGGGCAGGAGAGGATGGAAACCAAGGTTACACAGGTGCTCCATCAGTACAGATGGTCCCCGATTTGTGATGGTACCACTTACGATTTCTCAGTTTTACAATGGTATGAAAGCAATACGCATTCCGTAGAAACTACGCTTTGCATTTTGATCTTTTCCTAGGCTTGCGATTTGT